AACCCCGAGGACATAGTAAAGCTCGTTGCTTTCCAGGCTGAGCATTTCGCATTCCAGGCCGGGACGAACATCACGTACGCGGCGAATTGCATGGTGGACAGTGTTTTGCATGCGCCGTCTGCCATGGCGAAGCTCATCGGTGGCGAAGGCTTGATTGTTGGGCGACGCCTCCTTCCAGCCTCGGTCAGGAGGTACAACGATGGAATGACCTGCAAGATTCTGGACGCGGCACCATATGACGGACGGTTCACCATCTTCGTCTGTTTCGGGGATTTGATTGCACCTGGGAAGGTTGAGCTGCTGGAGCTACTGCGAGCTTCGGTACATCGTCCTGGCGGGATGTGGCAGCAGCTGGCCCTGAATTCGACGTTTGGCGCAACTTCTGTCTTCCGCTTGTGTGGGGTTACCACCACCTCGCATCTTTCTGTGGAGGCGGCGGCTTTACTTCATTCCTCTGCCCCAAGCCCTGCCGCGGCGGAATCCCGTCTAATTGACGCGGCCTCGTTATATTGCGACGACGTGCCCTGTCTCTCACCGTACGCAAAGCTTAGCACCAATGCGGTCACAACCACGGCGCTCGATATTGTCAGTGTGAAAGCTGCGGCAGGGATTCTTCTCCACCCTCTCCATCAGAAATGGGACGTTGATATGGAAGTTGGTGGGCTCGTCATTGTGCGTCCCGACGGGCACGTAGGCACCCTAACCCGTGGTCTGGACCATGTTGCTTGGCTCCAGGTGGAGAAGTACTTTGAAAAATTCTTACGTACTCGTAGAGGTGAATTGTACCAGTAATTGCATTGTGTATTTACGATAAAGATATGTGTCTCTCGCAGCTTAAGGGTACACGGAAAAAAAAAAAACTCGCGGTTATTATGGACCAGATCGCCGCGGAAAACGATGTACAGTAAAGTCGCTCGCCAGCCGGTGAACCGTTGAAAAGGCGGCTGAAGAAGTTGGAAGGAGGTGTGAAAACCAATTCGGCGAAAACAAGTCAGACAACCAGCGCGAGTCAATCTGAATGAGCATATGTGGTCCAGCTAGCACTCCTCGACGGTGATCTGATTATCGCAGAACGGCTAGCACAAGTTTGCATTGTTGAAAGGATTTGAATGTGTGGAATTCTTGATGAGTTTGACCATCGAACGAGTCCTATTCAAAGTTTGAATCGTGCCAGAGAGTCAGAGACTGGAGGCTAGCCCGACTCTGAGGCGGCGACCCGCCGGCAAGTTGCAACCCGCCGACGGAGTCAGGATACGGTGGGCCCACAGCTTCAAGTTCCATAGGGTTAGTGACTTCTGGAGCCAGGAGTTCATCGAACCCTGCTATCCCCGCTATCTACATCGAATCGGGTCAGCTGAGAGCGATTCAATGCCTGGACTGGCTTCTTAAGAGTTGACCACGCACCGGATTACTTCTTACTCTGTGGGCTGCTGGCCATTGGTAGGAAGATCCGCTGTACAACTCGAGTCTCGGAGCGCCGCCCACACTAGAACTACTTCTGCATCGAACCAGGGGCACACCCCGAAGAGTCTAAGTCGGCAACATGCCGTGACGAGAAGGAGGCCAATGCTGACGCAGATAGCCATCAGAGCGCGGAGAGACAGTCAAACTTGAACTTGAACATACCTGGGGCTTCGAGTAGAGCGCCCGAGAATCGGTTTTGGAGGCAACATATCGTTTAGCTCCTGGTATCCCTGCGATGTACACTCAAACCTGCTAGCTGCGGTCTAATGGATATGAGCGATGAAGGCCTCAATGGAAGTTGTTCACGTACTGGAGTACCTGCTTCTTGCCCCCGTTGGCGGGGCGTTGTCCTCGGGCCAATAGGCGGGCTGGCAATGGTTTGAAAGATCCATCCGTGCAAATGGAAGCGCCGCCCACTTCGTCAACTCCTTGGAGCGTGAGTGAGCGAGCTTCTGCGGACAGGGAGTTGACGATGTCATGGAGAAAAGAAGACGAATGCCGAAGCATTGACAGCCCTCGTTGACGGAGCTATAAGAGCGGAGAGACTCGCGTCGAACTTCAGTTGAACCGTGGGCTTCAAGACGACCTCCGCTGCGGTATAAGCTTGGGAATGTATTTATACAGCCAAAGGACAAGACGGATCCAAAGAAGCGAAGTCAAGATGCAGACGTGTGGAGGGGCGTTAGTGGCGAGTGCGCGGGGTGAATTTGCAAGGGAGCCGTGGAGATACAGCTGGGGAAATTTACGAGAGGAAGCCAGGCTCAGCGCAAGCTCAGCGAAGTAGTTCCTCTTCGGAGACAGAATACATCGATCCTCGGAGATGAATTCGCATGATCCACAACCGCTACTTTGAGGAGACTCGGCGAGCCTGACTGGGACAGTCAAGTCGCAGGAGAATCGCAGCCAGTGGGTGTCCAAAGCCACAGCTTGATGTTCCGCTCTCACCGAATCGAGATTCGGCATCGAGTCGCCATTGAGGTGGCACGCCGCGCTTCTCGAGGCATCATCTTGCTTGCATCTTGCGATCCGGGCAGGAAGAAGAAGGGCAAATTTGGGGCAAATGTGGCGATGCATAGACGGTGGTGAAAGCATCAACAAGCCTTTTCAAACAACAACAACCAACAAACAACCTCCTCTCCCTTCTCTCTCGTTTTGCTCATTTCTGCTCTCGTACTGACGGCGAAAACCTACGCAAGACTCCTCAAGTCCCCGCAGTCCCCGCAGTCCCCGCAGTCGTCCTGGCGCTCGGCGCAAACCTTGCTCTGCCGCGATGTACCGATGGCTTTCTGCTACGTGTATCCCGCAAGCGACGACTCCTGGCGAATGCTGCGACGTGTACCAAGCGTCCACACGGTCGACCTGCAGCAGCGTCGACATCGTTTCTAACCCCTGCGTCTCCCTTTCCTTCGCTTCATCTTCCTGATCGTAGTGCTGCTGCGTTGGTCTGTCTGTATGTGGCTCTCCCCTCCCTCTTCATCCAGCCAACTCCACCGCGACTAGAACCGAAGACGGACGGTACAGACGTTGTCACGGTCTCCCTGCCCGCGGACACCAAGTGCAGGGGCGGCACAGACGGGAACCGGTGTCCCATCGTGCGTCTCCCCCGTTCTCCCTTGCTGCAACCCTGACCAACCCACGTCCATCCAGCCCGTCAAGTCCACGGCCAACTTCGGCGGCTGCGTCGTCTTCACCAGACCGCGTCCTCCTCTTCCCTCGCGGACACCTCTCCTTCTGCCTCCGCCGCTGCTGGTGCCGCACCCGCTGTGTCTTCCTTCACCGTGGATGTCTCCCCCTCCACATCCACCACCGCCGTTGCCGCGCCTGCTGTATCTTCCTCCGCTGCTGCTTCAAGCGCAAGCGGCTCTACCACGAAGAGCGAGAGCAAGGTCCCTTGCACGAGCACCACCAACCGCACACGCCACGCACTCGGCGCGCGCCCGGCGTGCTTTGCGTCCTGCGGCGTCTGGGTCGGGGGCTGGATCCGAGGGCTGCACCCGCACCGTTTTTGTCGCGAGTACGCCGCTCTAAGTGGAGAGAGACGGCGGAATCTGGTGGGCGGGCGTGAGCTTGATTTGAGCCGCGATAGAGGTGGATGGTCATGGTACTGTATCTCTAGCTAGCGCTAGCACTGTGTGTCTTGTTATCTATGGATAGTTTCTTGTATTTATCTTATGTAAATTCCCGGGGAAGACTCGACGACCGCCCGCAATCGAGTGCACCGCGTGCTGTGGGTGGCGGTCAAGCATAAATCCGATAAATATTCCTGGTACCGACCTAGGGACCAGGTCTACCGAAAAAATTCCCATTTGATCAGATCCGAGACATGCCGTCGGTGATATCCGAGCATAGCCACACATCCCGTGTCCGTTTGGGAGTTGGAAAGTCCGGGATCAAAAGTCCGCCGATCAGGTCTGGCCGGTGCGGCCAGACCTTTGATGTGATCGGAATACGTCGGAGTTTAAATATTGATCGCTTGAGACAGCACATGTAAATAAACGCGTCGCGTCCTGTCGCGTCCTTACTACCACACCTCTTCACGGGTTTTTCTTGTAAACCTTGATCTTGAAGAAGTCAAGATACCCATAACATGTCCTTTGCCCGATGAAGGACAAGCATGAGCACTTTTTATGTAGAGTGCGAGTCAGTTGACTGTATACACATTTAGTGCTTGTATCGCATTGATCTGACGCTTCCAATTCCCAACTTCGTTAGAGTTTGTTTACGGGTCGGACAAGTGCGTTCAATTTCAGGAGGTTCACAATTGGCACACTGTGACCATTGAATGTAAATTCATCCTTTGGCCGCTTCGACAGTACTGGTGCCGTGATGTCCCGGCTGGTTGCACTGGGAGACATTGGGATCAACTGAGATTACGACGTTCATAGATGTTGCACAAAAATGCCTTCAAGCACCCCTCGGCCGTGTTTGATGCCAATGGTATGCCGATCAGCCGTGGCGATCGTTCCCGGACTTTTGATCCCGGACTTTCCAACTCCCAAACTTTATGCACATCCCGCTGTCCAAAACCTGAAAAATGCAATTTGCCTCTATCATGACGGCATCTTCTCTGGTTACCGCCCACAGCCACACATCCGGACCTCCAAAACGTCAAAACCAATTCCCCTCGATCATGCCGGCGTCCTGCACATTATATCTGTGCAGTGTGAACTCAACAACTGTTTAGAATGTTGCCTCGATATTGCCTCGATGACAACTTGATTGTCCTAAAAGCAATGCAGGGAGTCGTCCTTGAGTCGTCCTGCCCGGCTGAGGCAGCTTGTACATATCAAACCTGTTGTCGCATCAGGGTCAAACTCAGCTGAATAATGCTTCCTTGATATTGTTATGCCGGAGTGGTTGAGCGGTGTACGACTGGGTGGAATTGTACTTAATTGATTTTGTATACGAGTCAAATACGACTGGATCCTGGGGACTAGCAACAAGGTATTGGTCGGTCAGGAGGTACCAGGGGTGCCCGGAGGGCGTTATGAATTAACAGGACAACAATAAAAAAAACTGCTTGCAAGGATGAACCATGCCCCCGGCGGGAGTCGAACCCGCGTCGTCCGCGTAGATTTGGTAGCCCTTCTAATGCCAGCGGAAGATCTTCCAACTGATCTACAGGGACGTAACAAATGGCGCGGCACGTTGGCGGCACGTTAGAATTCGTTCTGCGACCTGAATGTCCCCAAAGTCATGCAATGTCGGTGGCTATCGTTGTGAGTCAAGCAGGACTGGGACAGAAAGATAGGTGTATGTGAGAGAGAGAGGAAAAAACATGTCTCTCAAGCCTACTACACCCGACCAGGAATCGGGATTAAACCCCGGTCATCCGCCTGAAACGCTACAAACTATTAAAGGCGGAAGATCGACCAAGATCTACCGGGGCTTGAGAGGGGAAATATATATTGCAGGCCAGCTGGTTGAATTTGGACGAATCCAGCTCGAGTGAGGTCGACTCGGAGGCTGCATTGTTTCTTAGTGACTGCATTGACATGCGTCTGGTAGATGTGGTACTTTCAGCTTGCAATATATCTTGGGGGAATCATCTCTAAACCGCCGCAAATCCCCGCAATCGGTCGTAGAGTGATTTGTCAGCCGGCAGTCGGCGGAGTTTGAACGTCTCTTTCTTCTAACCGTCATGACCTACAATTTCGGTCGATCGAGTCCTGGACAAAACACACTGAAAGTCTTGTCTTGGATTGCTTTCTGGATGCTAACCGATTCTCATCCCGCGGAGATGGGGAAACTCTACTGTGCAAATGTCTTGGCTTCTCGAACAAGGTCGCGTCTTTCGAATCCATCCATTGTACCGCCCCGATCTCTTAGTTTCGCTGCTACACTTTCATCCCTCTGGCGACGAGACAAACTTAAACTTGACTGGGGCTGACAGTCTCATAGCCGCCATTTCACAGCACTTGCGGCAAATAAATCAATGTGATCTGCTTCCGTTAGTGTTTGTATAGACGTTCATGATTGCCCTCCCGCGCAGCGAGATTCTTGTCTGATACTCCCAGCCTTCGGGCGCTAGATTTCCCGAGCATCGACATCCCGGACGGAGTGAAAAAGAGGCTTGTATTTCGCACATTCCTGGGGATTCCTTCCACAACGGTTAACATTTTGCATAGACTGAGGGTGCTTCCCATCCGCTCTCAGACAACTTTCAGCCACATCCTGTGCGGTAAATGGCCTCGGATGCATTGGACTCGCTCTGCCAGCCGATAATGCATGATGTTATCGGCTTGCTCTCGCCGATCTTTACGCGTTCGCAGGTTCATCGCTGCTGGGAACGTTAACAGCCTTCCTCCATCGCGATCATCCAAGGTATTCATCTTCTAATTCACCTTAACCAACACAATTCTGACCAACGCTGTCGTTATGCAGCGGGTGCTGGCACCCACTAGGCGCCCGTGATTTATTATAAATTCGCCGCCCTCACGACGCTCCGTCCATTCACTTTCTCTACCATGTGGTCTCTTACGCTGGCTCTTCTCCTCGCTGTCAGCGTACGGTTATCATGTGGACTCGTCGTGCAGAGCACGCGAGTTTCTTCTATCCTGGTGCGGGACCAGCCAACCGGAGCGACGTTGGACGCAATCTCCAATGCAAGGCTTACAGGGACTGCAGATCGCCTCGACGTCAGAGTGAGTCGTTTCATCCTTCTTCTTGTGCGCTCCAATATCGTGTCTTTCATTAGTATGCGACCAACATCACTGCAAATGGGCGAAGTAGGTAATCCCTGTTTGATTTAGTTGAAGCTGACCCCTACCTCGTGTCGTAGATTTTAGGGTCGCTATTGATACGGGAAGCTCCGATCTGTGGTCTGTTCACTCTGAATTGCTCACGTTGTACTGACGGTGATCGTCCAACTCAGGATCGCTCCACCTGGAGATTTTGCGTTCAACAACACAGGGATACCCATAAGCGACGGCTTCCTTGGCGGAGATGTAAACGGCACAATAGGATTTGCATCGGTGCAATTTGGAGGACACACAGTCAACGGTCAAGGTACGTGCTCGAACCTCCCGCCATTGCATCACAGCCAATGCAGATTCATCGACAGCCTTCAATAACGCGACGACGGTGCGAAATATTACGAATCCATGGACCCTTTTCCAACCGACGCAATGGTTATATTAGGTCAAGGTGGGAGGCCTCATCGATCTCGGCCTCGATGGACTGCTCGGTCTCTCTTTCAATGCTGTGACAGTATCGCCAATCATGAAGACTTTTCAAAGCAAAGGGATGGATCCGAATCTCGGCGAAACATTTTTGTTCAACATCTTCGATCAGACACCTGGGCAAAACAACTTCATTGGGATCTCGCTTTCACGGACCGACGACCTCGAGGGCTCTGCGGGCGCATCCTTCGGCATTAATGAGGTTGATCAAACCTACGCGGCGGTCTCTCAAGCGTCTCCAGTCCCTCTTTTTCCAAGCACTAACCGTGTCTGGAGCGTGTTGTTGGACGGTATCTCCGTCGAGGGCGCGGAAGATGTTATCCTTCCTGCTTCCAACGTGGATGGTACACCGCCAGGCAAGTTGGTGGCGGTACTTGACACGGGCACGCCAACTGCTTTGTTTCCCAAGCAACTCCTTGACGCCATCTACTCGAGGATCCCCGGTGCGTCGCTCATTAACGACCATGGACAAACCGTGTGGAGCATCCCGTGTAACACGACAACAAGTGCGTCCGTTCTGATTGGGTGCGTCTTCCTGCACAGTTAGGCATTTAGGCATCTGGATTACTGACCCTAGCTCTAATCTAGCGGCCAGCGATTCCCCATCCATCCGTTGGATCTTTCGGATGTAATAACCGACGACCGTAGCACCCCAATATGTGTGTCTATGTGGACTGCGGGAGCCAAGGGAGATCCCAGGTTCGACATTATATTCGGGGACTCGTTTATGCGCAATTTCTACACGCTGTGGGTGTCTCTTTCCCTCCCGGAAATTTTAACTGACGAGGTTCCACAGCTTCAACTTCGGTGATACCACCTCGCAGGCGCCGACCGGGAATCCTTCCGTTCAATTACTGTCGCAGACCAATGCCACGGCAGCAGCAGAGGATGTGCTCAATGTACGGATGGCGCTGCTCTCGAAGGCCGGACACGTTTCATCCGCTGTCATTTGCAGCTCCAAACCTAGGTTGATTGTTGTGCTTCTGCTGGCCGGGCTCGTGCACTTCACCGGCCAGAGTTTCTAACGCGGTGGACGTAGTAGCTGAGCTGTTTATGTTGTTTATGTTGAAATCGGTTTCTGTTGAAACCGGTTTATTTCTGTACTTGGGCTTGAGGGCCATTGCTGGCGCATGGCAGTACGAGTCTGGCCTTCGGCCCTTTTAAATCCTTTCTATGTATACAAATCAAGTTGAGTTTTCGAGTTCCGCCCAATAATTTTGACTTTCTCAGCATCTCAGGCCCGATATCCGGGTGATCCGACAAAATAAACTCGACGTCGACTCTCCCACGCAAAGCTTTTGAGCCTTTTTGCAAGTTCCGCGTGAAGCGATTACACAGAGGCGGCAAGGAGGTCGATCTGCCCAACTGCGTTGTGGAACTAGAACCCGGGTGTAAACAAAGCTGAAACCGCAGGGAGACAGTATCAGTTCTGAGGTAGTCAATGAGTTGGGCTTCTCCGTGCGATAACCAATGAAATGAGGAGGTCAGGAGTTAAAGGGTCCGAAGGAGCACTTAAGCTTGTAGCCATGTAGGACGTTCCCATTGAGGCAAGGCACGGTCAGGTTCTAGTGTACTTTCAGCCCTGTGTTGCCATCGCCGCAAAGAATCTGTTTGCAAATTCAACTTTCATTTTCAACTTACAGCCCGACCCCCCACCGTCCTCGTGGACTTTGTTCAATGCCTCCTGCAATACTTAAATCACAATACCTCTTTGCAGTAACGCTTGGGACCATGGCCTCCTGTCAAAGCCTCATTTGCTTCAGTGGAGCTGGAGCCCGTCTCAAGTTTGAACTTGACCGAGATCCCCGAATGCCAAGTTACACCAGCCGAACATCCATGTTCACTGCAGACAAATTTGCACACGCACAAGAAGGCTGAAAATGGAATTGCTACAGCGTGCCGTGGACCCACCAGTTGTCGAGCATATACGGCAAATGCGTCTTTTTCAACCACCTCCAAGCCCATTGATTGATTGAACCAGGTAGCTTTCAAGAGACTCGGAGTAGGAAATATCGGGCATATCGAATCGAGGCAACCTCCACTTTAATGGCAAACGAGGCTCCCACAGAGGGTCAGAATCGCTGTAAAAAGACGCAGAATGAGATTTCAGAGGAAATTTTGAAGCCTGAAGGGCAGCGCGCCCGTGTGGCTGGAAAGTTGCTGAAGGTAATATCATACAGCGAGAGAGTTCTAGGGCTGCCGCCCGTACTGCCCGTGTACACGGTTCTGGGGCAACCGTGCCACGGGTGCCGTGCCCGTCCCGTCGAGGATTTTCTCAATTCCTTCACGGCATGGCCACGGCACGGCTTTGGCTCTCCGCGGGCCGTGAGCAACGGCCATCTCGGCCTTGGCACGAGTGAGTTTTTTTCGGCCTCAGGGTGTCTAAATTACAGTGGTGAGTGATGCTAGGCTGTCCTGAATAATCACAATGTGTCCGTTCCACCCAAATTGAACGACCATTTCTTACACTCGGCATTTGCCGAGTCTGATGGCCGCTTGCGATGGATACCGGATTTTGGTTCGTTGCAACTTAGAACTGCGTATACCTTACGATTTTTTTGGGGGGAATCAAGCATCTGATAAGCACTCCCTCATCGATTTTGGGTTGATTTGCGTAGTTCAACCAGTGACTACATCTTCGTGAGTGTTCCCGCATTGTTTCCGCCATCTAAATCTTGTAATGTAGGGCAACTTCATGGCAACTCAACCTGTGGGAGCGTCCCTTAAACTTTCATACAAGAAACACTACTACAGCATCTTTACCCCACCCGTAGAACCGTCACGGCCGTGCCGTGATCCGTGCCGTGCCTTTGAACTTTTCTTCGGCAGCTCTACGGTAGTAAAATTGACGGCCCGTGCCGTGGGTACACCTTCAAATTCACGGCCGTGGCCGTCACGGGTACGGGTGGCAGCCCCAGAGATTTCTGAACTGAACCACAGAAAGTAC